GGATCCCAGCCAACGAGATCACCCACCTTGGGATAAGACGTCATTGGAGGCGGACTTACACCCTCCGGGAAAATAATGAGTAAGCATAAATAGGGGTATATAACCCAGAGACCAAATTAGGAAGGGGATTATTATAACAGTAATTTTGGCCAATTGCGGCCGCAGGCTATGTCCGAATGGGCACCGACTCGACACCCGGCAACGCCATCCGTCTGCAGATTCAACCCAAGTAAGTGGAACTACTCTTATCGCCATGCGTAATAATTGTAATATTATTGAAGTGTAACTCCTCCAATGGGACTTCAGTTGGAACGTTAGAACAAGTGTACAGGGCGTAAGAGTGGTCGGACAGTGATGCAGAGGTAGCCAAATGTAATGTGTAACCCGACACCAGTCGGCTCTTTCATTGTGATAGTACCAAAATGTGTATAACTGTATATTGATTGTGTTTATACTAATATAGGGTAGCATAGGGTGAGGATGTGGGTTTCTGTTGTGATTTCCTCCCTTATCACATTTCGCACCCGCGCCCTCCAGACAAGCCCAGTGAACCGTGAGCCCCTAGCCAATGAAACAACGATGAGGAAGTAATTCAGTTGTTTCCTTAGTCCTACCCCTGTGACTGCAGTACAAAAGGCGACAGTGGGGATACCTCCACGCCCCCTGTCACCACGGAATAACTGGTACCATAACAGTGGAGACAGCGGTGGGATTACCAATCCACCCCTGTTGTAAGGATGTAAGGGCATAACAGGGTCTTATGAAAATGGTAATACACAAAGGTGACTAGTTTTTCAGGAAGGGCTCAAGTGAGTTAAGTCCAATCGAAATATTACACCGCTTTTAAATAAAATAATGCAGTCTTGAAAATAAATACTAAAAAACGCATAAATGGACATAAAATGAAACAGGTATGCAAACAAATAAGTGGATTGTTGATTCAGACATCCCACAGGAAAATGATGTTCCCTCCTGCATTCCTGGGTATATATGCTACCTTCAATTAAATGGCGTAGTACATTGTTATTTATTTTATGGTCTTTAATTTAATTTCCATTTCATTTTTAACTATTTAAATAACAGTTCATTTCTCTTGAAGAAACACTACTGGGTCATAAATAAAAAGTACAAAACTTCTGTATAACAAACTTACAAAACATTAGTCCCTGAATTTTCCTAATGGAAATTGCATTGAACTTATCTAATGTATAAATTTTATTCAGCACCAAATACATTAAACTGAGTGCATCAATTGACTGAAAGTGCCAGTACAATAAGATACATGTATCACTTGGTGAAGTCCACAAATTGCTTATATGCATCAATTACATTTTACAGTCTCGTGTACAACACTATGTTCTGTAGAATTTATTAAAAGATATTCATTTTCAAAGTTTATCACTACATGTTCTGACCAATGTTGTCATCATCAGGTGTTAAAATTACTGGACAAGGAAACTGATTGTCTTCTGTTTTGTTCATTATGTTGTTACTATATAAGTCCCCTCGATGTGCTGTGTGTTTGAGTTGGTGGGTTGTTTTCCTTCTTGTTGTGTTGTGCTGCATAACAGTATAAGCAGCAAAACAGAAGACAGCAGTTTCTTCATCCAATAAATTTAACACCGATGATGACCAAATTGGTTGAAACATGCAGTGATAAACTTTTAATGTGAGTATAATAAATTTTATAGAACATAGTGTTGCAGGTGAGACTGTAAAGCTACAATATAATATTATGCTTACATGTATAATAAATTTGTAGCTTTAGCTTCAGTTTTTGAAAAAGAGGGCACAAAATGGAATACAAATGGACACCAAGAAGTGTGAAATATAATCTTAACATTTTTGTGAATTACCATCTGGAGCATAAAATTTCTCAAGTTAAAAATAAATTACCTATGTTTGTCCCTATGTCAGATGTAAAGACAGCACAATCTATGTGATTGAGTTCTGTAACAACAAAAATCAGCATAATGAACTACATATA